TACAGCTCTTCATCGTTTTTATATTGGCTAATCGTCGTGAATGTCGCGTTTCATTTCGTTAAACTCTTTGTTTTGAAAAATCAGCGGTTCAATGAGTAGCATTTTCGCATATATGCTCATACCTTTACCCAAAATAGCTCTAAATTAACGCAGTAGCACAGCAATGCACATTCTGACTTCCGTTGTAGGCAGAGAGAATTGAGATTATTGTTAACACGTGCATAGCTCAGAAACTGCAAACTTAGAGGCTTATGAAAAAAACCTTTGGGACATTTCAGTATCTAATTTTTTCTCAACGTCTTTGTTACAATTGCTATTTTTTTCAATTTGCAGTGAAACTGACAACCCTGGCGGAAGCCAGCTGAAACATAACATTTTTTGGCAAATTGAAGTTAGTAATAAGGCATCTTCATAGTTTCGTTACTAACGGTCAATCGTGATCATGATTTGGTTGTCTCTAGTTTATCTTATGGTTACAAAATCGTATACTCACCTCATGCCATAAGCTAACAGGCATAATGTTTGGCGTAGGAACTTTTGTACATTGATGAGTTTGAATGTGCAAGTAAACAATATTCATTTATCACTTTAACTTCAAAGTTGACACATTAAGAGTCCATCAGTGTATGTATAGTCGAATGAGCTCATTTACCGTAGACGGCAACCCTGTTACTGGGCACCTGTAATAAACCGAGTAGAAAAATTATCAATGACAATAAAAATCTACTACTCACGTCTTGAATTTGCTCACATGATCGTATATACAAGAATAGCAAAACACATAACCGGACACGGACAAAGCCGTATCATTCGTCCTTCTCCTCATACATAGGGGACACTTGTTCGTATCCAACATCAGAACGCTTGATTCAGTCAAAAGCTGGAGAGCGTTAATGTTGACGTTTGATTTGAAGCAAAAAAAAAGTGCAAACCTTATGTGGAGCCGGCGGAACCTGACTTCGAGTAGTCTTTCTGATGAGTTGTGAACCAAGATCACTGTTGTACATGAAGTCAATAAACTGGACAAAGAATAAACCATATCCAAAGAGGCGTGAGAAGATACCAGGAAAGGCTAGGAAAAAGCGCCACAACCGGTTGAGAATGCTGTAAGTGCAGGTGCAGGGTCAAGAAAATTTACTAGGAGATACTTAATTCTACAAACTTGTG